ACTTGAAAAGAGGAAATGAAGTAGAAAACAAAGTCGGCCTCGGCAACTCCGCCGCCACATTTACACAGCAAACTGTTGTTTCCACATGGTTTCAGACTTTGTTGATTGAGCTTTTCGATGTTCACTTTAGTCTTTGCACATGCTCAATATGGCAGTACCAATTAGGGAAAGGACTGTACTGCAGTCTTGTTTGTTTATTTGCTTTGTTCTTATGCCAAAAACGGCAACCCAACAACCGACGTATAAATACACACCAGATAAAACTATTCTTACAGTAACACTATATGCTATCATGTTTGAATGTATTTTTTTGTTTTTGTTTTAATTTAAAGTCGTTAAATTACGTGAATTCATATAAAGAATATGTATAACGAGTTTTGACTTTAAAGTTAATTCTGTAAGCAGAAAAATACTGACATAAAATACCTTTGTCCTTGCAAGGTGGTGTTAGATTCTCCCTCATTTCGTGCTCATGTACGATGGAACCAAGGTGTGGATGCGCAGGTTTCATTGGAGAATCATATTATATGATGTTTATTGTTGAAATTTTGTGCCATTGCAACGCCACCAATGGATATTGTTTGTACATTTGAAGACAGTGCAACTACAACATGATATGGTTTTATTATGTTTTATATGGTGAAGACGAACAATTCCAAAAGAAATTCCAAAACTTTGACATGGTGATGAGGTCAGGCCATGACAGATCCACCCCACCCTGGAAGCTTGCTTTTTATTGTCATGTGATTTCACAGATAACGGATTTGTCCGTAAGGCCCTGGCTTAACCTTTGTCAATTGATTGCTTTGTGGACGTACGGAGATGAAAGGTCAAATATGTGTGATTAACTAAATATATTATATTTTTTATATTCATTTAATAAAATTATAGAGATAAAAATGTTTATATTATACTAACTTACACAGATGCTTCGTATTTATTTGATAATTCGAAAACAATTCAAAATAATATATAGAATTATAATATTTTTTTATTTTTTATTATATATATATTGAACTATAATGTTAACAAAAATATTGATTTTAATATATTTATCCATATCTCGGATTTGATTCTATCCTTCAAAATTTATTCTTATAACCAAAGAATGGAATTCCTACCTATTCTATTCTCATTACCATTACATTCCGTTCCACAAATAAAACATTACATTAATCACTTACTTGTAATTAGTTAAATGTTTTGGGATATTTTGCTGTTCTCTCTCTCTCTCCCTCTATATATATAATATATAAAGCTGAATACCTATGCGGTTGTTCGCCATGTAACATTTTGAAACATAGAATTGTTCTATTTTGACACGCAGGATTTGCGGTTACTATGTGTTGAATTTATTGGTGATTATTTGTAGAAGATATTAATTGTTGAATTGATATTTAAATCCAAAGTAAACATACCTTTGGAGTGACATGTTACCCTTTTTTTTTTTTTTTTTTTTAGCTCTAAAATTGTTTTATTTTGAACTCTAGAATTGTTATCTCTTATCACGTTGGATTGTGTGTTTAATGATATTTTTTAACTCAAGATTCATGAATACCCTACTAGTTGTTCCCATGAATACCAACAGATTGTTCGCTATGGTGCACATTTTGGAAGCTTTGGAATTGGTCCATTTTGACACATTGGATTGACAAGCCAGCCAAATAGTTTTTATCTTGACACGTTGATTGGTATTTATTGCTCAATCTATAATTATTAATTAATTAAAAAATTGGAACAATTCTAATTATATAAGTGCATTGTATTGGAATTCTAAAGGCTACCATAGACACCTTATTTTTTAATTGTCATGTGATTGAATTTTAGTGTAAGATGTATAAAATATTAATTGCTGCACTGGTATTCCAAAGTCTAAATAAAGATAAAAGATTAGATTACATAGGTGCATTGCATTGTTGTATTTAATTAATAATAATCAATTATATAGTGCATTGCATTGCATTCTAAAGGTCTAACCAAAGGCACACCTTGATTTGTGATTGCCATGTGGTTGAATTTTATTGTGATGATGTAGACAATATAATGCTGCATTGGTGTTCCAAAGTCTAAATATAATACTAAAGATTGGATTACATAGGTGCATGTATTGGTAGTAAAAGCATACTGTTTATTAATAATATATAGATGCATTGTATTGACATGCAAACCTTTTTTCTATTCGTTCAATTCAATTCGTATTTAATTGTGTGACATTCGAAAGATCTAAATAAGGGGTTATAAAGGGGCGTATTTCAGTTGTGTATTATCGCAATATGTTAGTTGGTGCCACAATACTCTAGTATTTTGTTAATTGTTATAGGTCATGTTAGTTTGTATCAATATATGTATGTTCTTCATGATTTTATATCGATGATTTTTATTATTATGTTTTTGTTGTCATTTACAGGTCAAAGATTCATGAATTGCATGGAATAAAGGCAGGATGTCCGTATGGCATTGTCAAATGAGTTGTTATTGTGATTCGTTTTCTGAACTGTAAGCATCTTCTAGCTATTTTAAACGAAATGTAAGTATACTCCTACTATTTTAACGGTTATTATTTGATTGAATGATTGTTTTTGTTCAGTCAATCTATTTGAATGATTATTATGTTAGTCCTGCTGAACGGTAAGTGTATTCCTTAACAATTTAATATGAGATAATTAACTTTTATTGATTCGTTTTCAGGTAACAGTTGTTATACAATGAATGTTGTTCCTTAACAATCTAACATGAAGATCGATTAAATTTTGTTATGTTTGTTTTCAAGAAATCTTCATGTATTTAGTAAGATCAAATCGAGGATGATCCTATTGTCAGCCGAACTATGAGCAGTGTCATATCTATATAGTGGAAACAATTCAGTTGTGTTGAATATGTTTATGTAAAACATTCGTGTATTTTAATTTGTTATGAATATTTATTATTTATGTTCTGTTGATGTGTAGTATATATGTTATGAATTAATTTTGTTGATTCTGTTTTCATTAATAGGTGTTATTTGAAATATTTCTTACAGTCCTACTATGAATCTCTTAAATTTAGGTTAAGTAAACTATTTATTTTATCATCACACCATTTTGGTTTCCATGAACAATCAATATTAATTGACCATAATTGCTCAATAAAATTTTATATAGAGAGTTGAATCTTTAGACTAGACGACAGGCTTTCATATGATATATTAACGCTTAATTTTGATAACTGTAACCCCATTGCCGAACCATTCCTTCTCATCACACACAATTCGACTTCCACTAACATTCATTAGTAAATTGATAATAACTTGCTCAATAAAATCTAATTGATGAGAGGTTTAATCTTGAAACTAGATAAACAGGGATTTAATGGATTATTATACACTTAATTTGGATAACTGTAGCCCCACTGTCAAACCATTCCTTTTATCATCACACATATTTGGTTTCTTTCTGTTTCTTGTTTTTACTGATGTCTAGTAAATTAGTCATAACTTGCTACATGAAATCTATTTTATTCTAGGTTTGATATTTGAAAACTAGGATAGGGCTTTAATTGATAATTTATACACTTAATTTGGATAACTGTAGCCCCACTTCCGACCATTTCTTTATCATCACATCATTTTGGTTTCCACTGACATCAGTAGTAAATTGACCATACACTGCTCAATAAAATTCCAATTGATGATAGGTTTGAATTTTAGAAACTAGACATACAAGGATTTAATTTATATATTATATGCTTAATTTGGATAACTGTAGCCCCACGTCAAACCATTCTTTTATCATCACACACATTTGTTTCCTCTGTTTCTCCATTTTTACTGAATAGTTGGTAGTAATTGTCATAACCAGCTCAATAAAATAAATTGATTCTAGGTTTGAATATTTGAAACCTATACAGTAGGGCTTTAATTTGATAATTACACTTAATTTGGATCATCACAACATCGATTTCCACTGAACAATCATAGTAATTGATAATAACTTTCTCAATAAAACTCAAATTAATGATAGGTTTGAATCTTTAGAAACTAGACATACTGGGCTTTAATTCGGTTATTACAGCTTTATTTGGATAAGTGTAGCCCCACTTCTGAACCATTCATTTTATCATCACACACATTCGGTTTCCCCTGTTTCTCGATTTTCACAACAATTAGTAGTAAATTGGCCATAACTTACTCAATAAAATCCAATCGATGAGCGGTTTGAATCTTTGGAAACTAGAAAGATAGGGCTTTAATTTGTATATACACGATGAATTTGGTACTATAGACCTGCGGCCGAACCATTCATTTTTTTCTCACACTAATCAAATATATATATATATATATATATATATATATATATATATATATATATATATATTAATAAAGCTGAATATCCATGCGGTTGTTTGCCATGTGACACATTTTGAAGCTCTAGAATTGCTTCATTTTGACACATTGGATTGCAAGCCAGTCATTGCTTATCTTGACACGCTACTTGGTATTTATTGCTCCACCTATAATTATTAATTAATTAAAAATTGGAACAATTCTAATTATATAATTATGCATTAGCATTATAAAGGTCTAACCATAATGACACATTACATTTGTGATTGTCATGTGGTTGAATTTTATTTATGATGATGTAGACAATATTAATTTGGCATTAGTATTCCAAAGTATATAATAGAAAGATTGGATACATAGGTGCTTTGCATTATTGTATTAATATTATAATAATACTAATTATAGCTGCATTACATCGCATTTTAAAGTCTAACCATAAGGACACCTTAATTTGTGATTGTCATGTGGTTGATTTTATTGGTGATGATATGACAATATTATTGCTGCATTGGTATTCCAAAATCTAAATAATATCCATAAAGATCGGATTACATAGATGTATTACATTGGTATTAAAGCATACTTGTTTATTAATGATTATATAGGTGCATTGTATTAACATTGCAAACCTTTCTTCGTAGTCAATGCGGAAGGAAATTTAATCAGCTGTGATACACACCTGTAATCATCTTAACACTAACACCCAGATCTAAAGCTCTCCTAATGGTTTCAGCACTGTCATGGCGTGGAGGATCAAAGAGAGGAAGAAGACCGACGAATTCCCAAGGCCCACCAGGACTGTCTTTGGTACCAGCAGGTACTTCCTGTAGATGAGAGAACTCTTCTTCAGTAAATGCAGTAAAGAAAAGAAATTCCAGGAGCATATAGTAATTTTGAATGCTAGACTACCTGCTGGGCAACTGCTAGGGATCGAAGACCACGCTCAGCAAATTTATCAATTATTGAATGGACCCTTTTTTCAATATCTGCTTTGTTCCATGCCAGATTAAGAATCTAGAATAGACCCAAAACACACACACAACCATGCAAAAGGAAGTTAATAGCTTGTAGGCTTATACCAAGTGATGGTGTGGTCAGTAACCGTAGTTGTAAAGTGATTTATTTCATACCTGTTCTGGTGCACCTTTGCTCACTCTATGCATTTTACCGGCTTTGTCAATGTATGTGAGTGCAGTCCTCTTATCAGTTGGATTGAAGGGAAGGAAGTGAACTTCAGTAATATCAGCTCGAGCCTTACAGTAGGTCAACAGAATAAAATCAACTCAGCTGAGGCTCATCAATGAAATAAACAATTAAACTACATCAAAAGTTTCAGTACTTCCAGGAAGCAACTAAATAATCACCAGCTAAAGTTTAGCAGCACCACTAACAGAGGGCTTGTAAAGCAGCCCTTACATTATTCAAAAATTAATATTACTGGTTAATAAGACTTAGTACCTCTTTAGGATCAGCCAGCATTGAAACAATTGCAGCGTCAATGGCATCTTGATTCTCCAACCTTGAGGCTCTAGCAGCCATCAAAACAACCATATCCTTCTCAACACCATCAGCAAAAACCTGTAATGGAAGATTCCATGTCTTAAGTTCCAATTTTCCAGTTGGTTTTAATGGATCTCATAACTTATGCAGAAAATGAAGCTAACTCAAGGAGATGTTGACCAGACAATATGTTATTTGTACATCGGAGCCATACTTCAGATGAACTCCCTTTACGTCCCTAAACCCTTGCTTAACTTAGCAACATGAATCTTGCCACCAAAATCTGACCCTAAGTTAAGTATCTTTAAGCATTTTGACCAAATAGTTCTTCATCATGTAATTGACTAACATAACAAAATCAAGAAATCAAAGTTCCCACCTCTACCAAATTTTTGTCCACCGTAAGTTTGTTGAGAGTTAAAGTGCCAGTTTTATCACTGCAAAGCACATCCATCCCAGCCATTTCCTCAATAGCTGTCATTCTTTTTGTTATGGCACCCTGCACAGGAAGTTAGAAATCTTTAAGTTGATCTCTCCCAACATAAGAATTCGGGAACTGGCATAATTTGACATTTTAACTAATTGTAACTTCACAGACCTGCTGAGATAAACGATGAGAACCAATTGCCATCGTGACAGAAAGCACTGTTGGCATAGCAATTGGGATACCACCAATAAGTATCACAAGAAGGTTGTCTATACCAATTCTGTAAGGCCTTTGCTGAAGCCCATAAATGACTACGATTTCAATAACCATCCCAAAAGCAATGGAGCAAATGCAGAAGTTTCCAATTGAAGTCAAGACCTGAAACCATCAAGCAAAATGAATTCTTGTCAAGTATCTAATCTGTTTGGTCCCATTACATAAGCATCATTTGTTTGGTTGTTAAATCTTCAAGCCAGAGGTTCAGATTCCAAAAGCATGCCAGCTTAATATTTTAACTGCCTATGAGCATTGAGTTCAGAATATTATTTAATTAAAAAGAGTTCTAAGATCAACCTTCTGAAAGTGCCCAACATGTGTTGTATTTTCCACCAGATGAGCTGCCTTCCCAAAGAAAGTATGTACTCCAGTTGCAATGACAACTGCTTCAATTTCACCTTGCTTACATGTTGAGCCAGAATAAACTCCATCACCAGGACCTTTTGTTACTGGGAGTGACTCTCCTGTAAGAGCCGACTGCAAAAGAAAATAATATCACTACAACCCCAGATAAAAGTCAGAATTGACTTCCAAGAAACCACTATTCTTACAGTCACCTGACATCTTGTGAGATTATTAAACCGGAAATTATAAAATACTAAAAGAGCTCTATTTTGCTTGAAGTTTTAACTCAAAGTATTTATCTATGCCTGATTAATTTGATTTCATATATGCATCTCAACACTCATACACTAGTATCTAGCAAAGTACAGAGTAAGTTGTCAAGGTCTTGGCATGAATCATGAGTCAATACCTGATCAATTTTCAGAGGATCTCCTTCAAGCAAACGGGCATCAGCAGGAATAATGTCTCCTAGTTTGATACTGACAATGTCTCCAGGGACCAACACAGAAGCATCTTCCTCGCTCCAACTTCCATCGCGTAAAACCTGAGAAAGACAATTTGTTTTTTGGTAAGAGAAATACAAAATTCCAGGATTAAGGAAACAAAGAGTAAAGAATAAAAACAAAATAATTGATAGATTGCTAGAAAATAATTCAATGGAAAAATGCCAGGAAGCAAACCTTAGCCTTTGGAGCCAGCCGAGCCATAAGCGCTGCAGCAGCATTTCCAGCATTATTTTCCTCTATAAAACTGATGGTTGAATTGATAATCAGCAAAGCCGTGATGCCAAGGAAATCATGATAATCTGTACCCTTGTGCTGGAAAGCCATTGGTTTCATATAATCAATCAAGGATACAAATTCTTGGAGTGCAATCACATGTTTTCAAGTTCACATTTCAGTCATAAAAGAGAAGATATAGTCCTATGGACTTACCCCTCCATGAGCAAGAGCGATGGCCATAATTGCAGCTGCTTCCATAACCCATGACAGAGGATTCCACATAAAGCCCAAAAATTTGAGTATTTTACTTTCCTGTGGAGGAAATGATAGTTACAAATTCAACATAAATGTGAGATATGACAAATGAAATCACCTTTCAGGAAATACAAAGATATAGACAGAGAAAAGCAGAAACAAGTCATATGACACCTTTTTCTCTTCCAGTTTGTTATACCCAAAAAGCTCTAGTCGCGCTTGAACCTCATCTGAGTTTAGACCTTCTTTTGTACATTTTAGCTTTTCAAAAACTTCTTCAATCGGAATATTCTCCTGCATAGGCAATTCCCAGATTAGCATACTGAAAATGCAGATTTGCAACAATTTTTTTACTTCAACATAGTTCTGAGACTTGTATCCCTCATGTCCATCTAATCTAGCGGAGTCTATGCAAGAACATACATATTTTGCCTTCAACAATCCGAAAGACTTCCATCTTTTAAATTTTATTTTTTCAAATGTTATCACTAGATCAATAGAAATTGAAGATTTAATCCAACATTGGATTTGTTCTTATTTTTTTTTTAATTTTTTTTTAAAATTATGGTTTCATATCCAAGGTTGGATTGCTGCTTTGTTCATGCAAAGAACAAAACGGAAACCTAAATATGTGATCTCTCTAATCTAAATCGCCAAAAAAACATACGAGGAATAACTTGTAACTTAAGTATGAGAATAACTCTGCTGCAAGAGGAATCAATATAACAAAATGATGAATAAAAAGTTTGTACCAAGTCAACAGTTTCGTTGTTGATAGCTTCAAGAGCAGTTGATATCTTCTCCATTGTTGTTCTCCTCTTTCAACTCCCACCAAGCAGTCGATGTAGATAAGCTGCAGGATGAAACATATATCTTATCTAATCACACCATCATACACAATTCATTTTCTTATAAGAAGAAAAACATAACCAGAAACCCATTTTCAATAATGCATATAGAATTCCAAAGATTCATTTTTGATTTGAACGTTAATAGCTAGAAGATATTGAATTTTTTTGGGTTCCAAATAGTGCAAAATTTTAAATTTAATTTCTTTCAAGTATTTTCACAATAACCAGGAAGATTAATTTGATCATAGCTACAAACTTCCAGATTGCGTATTAATACAAACAATGAAAAGATCACCACCATGAACTAAATTATTCTTACATAATTCAATACCTTTTTTAATAGGACTTGCACATAAAATCATTTTATCACTGGTATTTGTTATATATCTTTTCAGAAGAACAAGTTTAGAATAACATGTGGATCGCCATGATCACCACACCTACTCAAAGTTATTGAAATTTCGAAAATATAAAATATGAGGAGCTTCAGGATGTACCTGCAGTATAAACTCAAACAGGCGGCTCCTTTACATGAACCCACTAGAGATATTCAGGAAGCTCCAAGTACCCCTTCTAAGAAACTGGAGAAGAAGAGTTTTGCATAGTTGAGAAACACATCAAACGACTTGGAATATATAAGCTGCATTGTAAATCCAAACAAAATGGGAAGACACAAGAAAGAGACTTGAAAAGAGGGAATGAAGTAGAAAACAAAAGGTCGGCCTCTGCAACTCCGCCGCCAGCATTTACACAGCAAACTGTTGTTTCCAAAGCTACACATGGTTTCAGACTTTGTAATGATTGGAGGTTTTCGATGTTCACTTTAGTCTTTGCACATGCTCAATATGGCAAGTACCAATATAGGGAAAGGACTGTACTGCAGTCTTGTTTGTTTATTTGCTTTGTTCTTATGCCAAAAACGGCAACCCAACAATCCGTACGTATAAATACACACCGGAGATAAAACTATTCTTACGGTAACACTATATGCTATCATGTTTGAAATGTATTTTTTTGTTTTTGTTTTTAATTTAAAGTCGTTTAAATTACGTGAATTTATATGAAAGAATATGTATAATGAGTTTTAGACTTTAAAGTTAATTCTGTAAGCAGAAAAATACTGACATAAAATACCTTTGTCCATTGCAAGGTGGTGTTAGATTCTCCCTCATTTCGTGCTCATGTACGATGGAACCAAGGTGTGGATGCGCAGGTTTCATTGGAGAAATCATATTATATGATGTTTATTGTTGAAATATTTTGTCCATTGCAACGCCACCAATGGATATATGTTTCGTACATTTGAATGACAGTACAACTACAACATGATATGGTTTATTATGTTATGTATATGGTGAAGACGAACATATATTCCAAAAGAAATTCCAAAACTTTGACAATGGTGATGAGGTCAGGCCATGACAGATCCACCCCCCCTGGAAGCTTGCTTTTTATTGTCATTGTGATTTCAACAAGATGAACGGATTTGTCCGTAAGGCCCTGGCTTAACCTTTTGTCAATTGATTGCTTTGTGGACGTACGGAGATGAAAGGTCAAATATGTGTGATTAACTATAAATATATTATAATTTTTTATATTCATTTAATAAAATTATTATGAGATAAAAATGTTTTTATTATTATACTAACTTAACACAGAATGCTTCGTATTTATTTGATAATTTCGAAAACAATTCAAAAATAATTGAATTTTAATATATTTATCCATATCTCGGATTTGATTCTATTCCTTCAAAATTTATTGTTATAACCAAAGAATGGAATTCTTATTCTATTCCATTCTCATTACCATTACTATTCCGTTCTACAAAATAAACATTACATTAATCACTTACTTGTAATTAGTTAAATGTTTTGGGATATTTTGCCGTTATCTCTCTCTCTCTCTCTCTATAAATATATATAAAGTTGAATACTCATGTGGGTTGTTCGTCATATAACACATTTTAGAACTCATAGAATTGTTCTATTTTGACACGTTGGATTTGCGGTTGCTAAATGGTTGAATTTTATTGGTGATGTTGTAGAGAGATATTAATTGTTGAATTGATATTCTAAATCCAAAGGTAAAAGCATACCTTTATGAGTGACACGTAGGACACTTTTTTTTTTTTTTTTAGCTCTAAAATTGTTTTATTTTGGAACTCTAGAATTGTTTTCTCTTGCCACGTTGGATGTGTGGTTTAATGAGATGTTTTTAGCTCTATGATTCATGAATACCCATGTTGGTTGTTCGACATGAATACCTATGCAGATTGTTCGCCATGTGGCACATTTTGGAAGCTTTAGAATTGGTTCATTTTGACACATTGGATTGACAAGCCAGTCAAATTGTTTTATTTTGACACGTTAGATTGGTATTTATTACTAAATCTATAATTGTTAATTAATTAAAAAATTTGAAACAATTCTAATTATATAGGTGCATTGCATTGGAATTCTAAAGGTCTAACCTTATATTTGTAATTTTCATGTGGTTGAATTTTATTAGTGATGATATAAACAATATTAATTGATGCATTGGTATTCCAAAGTCTAAATAAATAGATATAAAGATTAGATTACATAGGTGCATTGCATTGTTGTATTAATAATTAATAATAATACTAATTATATAGGTGCATCACATTGGCATTCTAAAGTTCTAACCATAAGGACAAATTAGATTTGTGATTGTCATGTGGTTGAATTTTATTGTTGATGATGTAGACAATATTAATTACTGCATTGGTATTCCAAAGTCTAAATAAATATACATAAAGATTGGATTACATAGGTGCATTACATTGATAGTAAAAACATACATGTTTATTAATAATTATATAGGTGCATTGTATTTACATTGCAAACCTTTCTTCATATTTAATTCACATTTAATTGTGTTGACATTCGAAATGTCTAAATAAGGGGTTATAAAAGGAGCGTATATTCAGTTGTGTATTATCGCAATATGTTAGTTGGTGTCAACAATAATTCTAGTATTTTGTTAATTGTTTATAGGTTATGTTAGTTTGTATCAATAATACGTCTGTTCTTCATGATTTTATTAATCGATGATTTTTAATTTATTTATGTTTTTGTTGTTATTTACAAGTCAAAGATTCATGAATTGGCATGGAATAAATGCAGGATGTCCGATTAACATTGTCAAATGAGTTGTTATTGTTATTCGTTCTTCTGAACTGTAAGCATATCTTCTAACTATTTTAATACGAAATTGTAAGTATATCTCCTAACTATTTTAACGGTTATTATTTAATTGAATGATTGTTTTTGTTTGGTCAATCTATTTGAATGATTAATTGTGTTAGTCCTGTCGAACGGTAAGTGTATTCCTTAACAATTTTAATATTAAGATTAATTAACTTTTATTGATTTCGTTTTCAGGTAACAGTTGTTATACGAATGAATGATTGTTCCTTATCAAATCTTAACATGAAGATCGATTAAATTTTGTTATGTTTGTTTTTAAGGAAATGTTCATATACTTTACTAAGATCAAATCGAGGATGATCCTATTGTCAGCCGAACTATGAGTATGTGTCATATCTATATTAGTGGAAACAATTCAATTATATTGAATATGTTTTCTGTAAAAACATTCGTGTATTTTAATTTGTTATATGAATGATTTATTGTTTATGTCCTGTTGATGTGTGAGTATATATGTTAAATGAATTAATTTTGGCTGATTCTGTTTTCCAATTAATAGGTGTTATTTGAAATATTTCTTATCAGTCCTACTATGATAATCCCTTAAATTTGGGTTAAGTAAACTATTCATTGTATCATCACACGCATTTTGGTTTCCACTGAACAATTAATAGTAAATGGACCATAACTTGCTCAATTAAAATCTAATTGATGAGAGAATTGAATCTTTAGAAACTAGACAGACAGAACTTTCATTTGATATATTATACGCTTAATTTGGATAACTGACCCCACTGCCGAACCATTCCTTTCATTATCACACACATTTCGGCTTCCACTGAACAGTCAGTAGTAAATTGATCATAACTTGCTCAATAAAAATCCAATTGATGAGAGGTTTTAATCTTTAGAAACTAGATAAACATGGATTTAATTGGATATATTATATGCTTAATTTGGATAACTGTAGCCCCACTACCAAACCATTCTTTTTATCATCACACACAATTTGGTTTCTCTTGTTTATCAATTTTTACTGAATAGTCAGTAGTAAATTAGTCATAACTTGCTCAATAAAACTCTAATTGATTCTAGGTTTGAATATTTGAAAACTAGATAGATAGGGCTTTAATTTGATATATCATACACTTAATTTAGATAACTGTAGCCCCACTTATGAACCATTTCTTTTATCATCACATACATTTTGGTTTCCACTAAACAGTCAGTAGTAAATTTACCATAACTTGCTCAATAAAACTCCAATTAATGATAGGTTTGAATCTTTAGAAACTAGACATACAGGTATTTAATTGGATATATTATATGCTTAATTTGGATAACTGTAGCGCCACTACCAAATCATTCCTTTTATCATCACACACATTTTGGTTTCTCCTGTTTCTCCATTTTTACTGAATAGACAGTAGTAAATTAGTCATAACCTGCTCAATAAAAATATAATTGATTCTAGGTTTGAATATTTGAAACCTAGATAGACAGAGCTTTAATTTGATAATTATACACTTAATTTGGATAACTGTAGCCCCACTTCCGAACCATTTATTTTATCATCATATACATTTTGATTTCCACTGAACAATTAGTAGTAAATTGACCATAACTTTCTTAATAAAAATCAAATTAATGATAGGTTTGAATGTTTAGAAACTAGACATACAGGGCTTTAATTTGGTATATTACACGCTTAATTTTGGTAAATGTAGCCCCACTTCCAAACCATTCCTTTCATCATCATACACATTTTGGTTTCCTCTATTTCCCGATTTCCATTTAACAATCAGTAGTAAATTGGCCATAACTTACTCAATAAAAATCCAATCGATGAGCGGTTTGAATATTTGGAAACTAGAAAGATAGGACTTTAATTTGATATATACACGATGAATTTGGAAAACTATAGACCTGCAACCGAACCATTCATTTTATCATCACACATATAAAATCAATATATATATATAAAGCTGAATACCCATGCGGGTTGTTTGCCATGTGGCACATTTTGGAAGCTCTAGAATTGCTCCATTTTGACACATTGGATTGACAAGCTAGTCAAATTGCTCTATTTTGACACGTTAGATTGATATTTATTGCTCCATCTATAATTATTAATTAATTAAAAAATTTGGAACAATTCTAATTATATAGGCACATTGCATTGACATTCTAAAGGTCTTCTAACCATAATGACACCTTATATTTGTGATTGTCATGTGATTGTCATGTGATTGAATTTTATTTATGATGATGTAGACAATACTAATTGCTGCGTTGGTATTCCAAAGTCTAAATAAATAGACATAAAGATTGGAATACATAGGTGCATTGCATTATTGTATTAATAATTAATAATAATACTAATTATATAGCTGCATTGCATTGACATTTTAAAGGTCTAACCATAA